AGGAAGAGTCTGCCACCAGCCCACCCTGGAACCAAGGCGACTGCAGAGTGCAGAGTTAGGGCTCCCTCTGTCGGCCTGAGGCATGGTAGCTGTCAAGGTCATTCCTTACTGAGAGGGATCCTGGTGTGTGTGTGTGTGTGTGTGTGTGTGTGTGTGTGTGTGTCGGTGCCCACGGCGAGGGCACAACCAGGCCAGGAGACCCTTCTCTCACCTGCCATGCTCCACTTCCCCTCTGGTCTTGCCTGACAGTGAGACTTGCTTTGCCCACCAGCCCCTTCCCCCTGAGAAGGCCCCAGACTCCTCAGGGCCGGTGGACCATCCTCCCCTGTCGCTTGCCTGTCTCCCCTTCAGACTGGGATGAGAGGGGAGGCAAAAAGTTTCCCCCAGAAGCAGGCAACACTGAACACCAGTGCCTGTTGTCCAGGCCCCAGGGTAGGCTTCCTGGGCACCGCTTGGCCATACCCAGCTGCTGAGGGGACTAACGTACCTGTAAGCTCAGAAGTGCCTTGAGGCCTTGAGGATGGCCCCTTGCGTCCACAATAGGGGCTGGAACTCCTGCCCCTCTCAGGCAGGCAGTCCCAGGCCCCACACACCTAGCTCTTGGCTCCTTCCTGCAGCAAGATCACTGGTGCCAGATGTCCTGACTGGACTCTGGCCCCGCCGCCAGCCCCCTCCGCAAGGCCTGTGCAATGGGCTTCTCTTCTCTTGGTCTCACTCCATTGCCCCTCGCCCCGCCCCATGCACCAACCTGCTGGGACTGGGAGCACCAGGGACTCTCCCCCTATGCCTGGGCCGTCTAAACATTAACTCCTGGGGAGGGTGACTAAGGGTACCTAGGCACCTAAGGAGAAGGGAAAGGTGACAACTGGGCCACAGGAATAAAAGGAAGGATGAGGGCCTAGAAGTGACCCTTTCTCAAGAGTTTAGAAGTCATGTACCACCCCCCCCACCTCTGTACACTGGACCCTCTGTCTCGGGGACCCTAGAGCCTCAGCCCCCAGCATGCTGCCACAAGACTAGCCTCTCCCCCAGACCCCAACCCACAACTGCATGATCACTCTCCTTCTCAAAGCTCCTGCTACCGCAAAACTTTCCCTAGTGTGGCCCAATCTTTTCCTGCCACTTCTCCAGGCAAACTTACAATTCTAGCCAAACCCATGGACTGCTCAACTTCCCCTGAACACGCCTCACAGCTTCCTGCCTCAAAGCCTTTTTTCTCATGCTGTTTTCCCTCTTAGTATTTTCCCTTGCATGTCTTGTCTGCGGACTGGAATCCTGCTCATTCTTTTATTTGTTCAGAGGTGGGGGGAGGGGCAGAGGGAGAGAGAGAGAATCTCAAGCAGACTCCCCACTAAGCTTGGAGCCTGATGCGGATCTCAAGACCCTGAGATCATGACCTGAGCCGAAATCAAGAGTCGGACACTTAACCGACTGAGCCACCCAAGCGCCCCTGAAATCCTGCTCATCCTTAAAGATCATGCAAACCCCAGCCTTTCCCAAAGCTCTGGCCCCATGTACTCTCCCATCCCGGAACCCACCATGCCTGGCCGGAAATGGAGAACATCCCACTCAGGTGATGAAGACAGGCAAGAATGTAGACTGTAATGCTCCCTAGCTGCGACCACGAATGAGTTAATATCTCCGAGTCTGAGCTCGCCCACACATGATATGGGAATAATCTTACCCCCTGAATAAGGGGTTATACGTGAGTATTTCTCACATGCTGCCTGGCACATCTCTGGAGTTCTGTACACATTAGTGTCCTTATTTCCAATAGCTCCTATCTCCTTTTTTCCTCTTTTGGGCTGTACCAAATGCCACTTTGCTATCTTCTTAGGTGTGAGAGAGAGATTTCCGAAAGTCCTTAAGTTTCAAGTGTCTGGAGATCTTGACAGGGGATGATACCATATCTTGTCCGTCTTTTTTGTTAACTGAAGGGCTAGCACAGTGCTTGTACGTTGTAGGGAATAAATAAGTCTGTGGATTAAGTGCTTAGGACCCATCCCTGTCCAAGTCCACCTAAGGATGGAAGGTGGAGGCAGGATTCTGGTTCTCATTCTGCCTCCATCTCCAGGGACTGCAGGGTGCTGGGCCAAGGACTTCTTTCTGGACCTTCAGTTGGTTTAATTCCCTCAATAAATACTTACTCTGTGGAACGTCCTGTGCTGGGTACTATGGGGGAGGCAAAGACGGACTACTTCTACATCTGAGGCACTTGCTTTGTAGTACAACCATCCCACAAGCACGAATAAGTACAGTGATGTGTGCATAAGGCAAGGGCAAGTGGGTGGCCAGAGAGCCCCAGGGCACCGGAGATGACCACTAGCCCAAGAGAGGAGGCAAGTCTACAGAGCAGAGGAGACAGCAGCGGTCTGGGCGTGTGAGCGTTCTGGAGGAAGGCGTGCTGGACAGTAGGAACCTCACGATCAAAGATGGGCACAGGGTGCTGGCCGGACGGCAAGGGCTGCTGTCTTGCCAGAGCTCCTGGAGGGGACTTGTAGGGACAGGGCTGGGAAGGAAAGCTGGGCGGGATTGTACAGGAGCTAAGGAGTCCACTGGTGATCCCATAACGCGAGCAGAGCTGTGGGTTAGGGTGGGGTAGGGTGAGCGAACCGTGTGATATCCTGGAGGGGGTAGGGGTGTCGGGAGGCAGAGACATGACTTGGAAAGCTACTGTACTAACTGAGACAGACCCCAGCGAGGTCTGGCAGCGGTGCAGAGTTTCTGAGTGTGGGAGAGAAAGCAGTGGTGTGCAAGGGGCTGACAGCTGACGTGCTGCATTGCTAGGAGAGACTCAGCAGGAAGAACAAGGCGAGAAGAGAAAGGCAGAAATCTTAGGGAATGTTTCTATGAAGAGGAGCCAGGGAAGAGAAGGGTCCCAGCAACAGAGAATGAAGAGGTAGGACAGAGCTTCAAAAAGGGGTGGTCCTTCATGGCTGTGAGGCTGGGGACGCCCAGGTCTGAAACCAGGGAGCTCACTGGCCACTGAAGTATGAAGGACAGGGCTCAGTAGAGTGACTTTAATAGAAGCCAGCTTGCAGGGACTAGAAAGTGAGTGGATTTCCCCCTCTGCCTCATCTGGCTGTTGGAGGACAGGACAGCGGAGGGGAGATCAATATGCAGGCTATTCTTAGCTGGAGGTCTTGGTAATCCTAACCAGCACAGGATCTGAGACACCTGCTGCCGCCTCCCTCCACTTTGTCACATCCTCCCGGAGAGGGATGCACTCATCTTGCCCCAAGTCTTCCCCCACGGTGTCCACCCCCATCTGCACACTTGCTTAGAACCTTCCGGCACACAGAGGCAGCCAGGGTTGCTGCAGCCAGCTGCGGAGTGGTCTGAGGTCCTCAAGGAAGCCTTCTTCCTCCCCCACCCATGTTAAATCCCTTGAGACCCCATTTTCAGAGATCCATTCCATTGGCCTCTTCCTTTCCGCATCTTTGAAATCAGCCCCAGTTTAGAAGAATGAACTGAACAGACTTCCCCAGAGTATGAAGACACCCTCTGGGTATGGAGCCTGGACTTGGCAGAGGCATGAAAAGGTGTGGTAAGAAGGTTCAGAGAGCCAAGCCAGAGACCCAAGGCCACCAGCAGGCGTCAGACGTGCCAGGCTTGGGGCTCGGGGCGGGGCAAGGCACTCTGAGATGGCACAGACCTCCGAGGCCGCCTTCCTCCCTCACCCTGCCCACTCTCAGCCCCCCCTCACCAGGTCTCACCTCAGAAAGCAAGAAAGGAAACAGTGAGGGCTTTCTGGAGCCGGCCCCCAGAGGCCTGTCCGTGCTGGGGAGGTCAAAGAGAGGGAGGAGGGGCGGGAGAAAGGCGGAGAAGAAAGCAGAGGCAAGACAAAGGGCCCCGTCCACCTTTGAAGCTGTCTCTAACCCAGCCAGGGATGGTGGGGTGGGTCTGAGAGCCCGGCTGGGGGGAGGCAGTCTAGAGTTTTAAAGAATGTCTTAAATTCCTGCGGGAATCAGCAGGATTGTAAGAGCCCCCCTCCCCAACACACCTCCTTCCCAGTCTCCTACCCCTGCCCCCCAAGTCCAGACCTCCACACCTGGGGGCCCCAACCCTTTGTCCTCAGGTAATTGCTGGGCGGTGCCCCTGTGTTTAAAATCCCATTGAACTCACCAGTTATCAGCTGTGGCTCCGGACCACCCTCCCTACCCCCCAACCCCCAGAAAACGACCCCCAACACATCTCCTGCAGTCTTCACCAGGATTAAGGCTCTTTGTGATGGGGCGGGGGCAACCTGGTGCAAAGCAATTATGACAAGCTGGGGGAGAATGTCCTGGGGCCTGGGGGACCTCCCTCTTGGCTGTGCCTTCTAAATTGCTCAGAGTTGGGGGTGTCAGACTGCTCCAGTCCTCACCAAAGGAGAGGCGAGGGATCCCCAACCTCCACCGACTTGGACGGCTGCTTCACCCACCTCCCATTTTGACTAAACCAGGCTCCTCCCCAACTTCCCAATCGGTCCTTATTTTTAGGCCATTCTTGGGAAAAGTGGGGAGAAGGGAGGTCTATTCATCCTTTTTCCTTTTTCCTCTCTCTCCATAATACTTCCCTCCAACAGCTTCCCAGAAAGCAGAGGAAAGGGAAACTGAGGCTGGGGGTCCAACAACAGAAGAGCGGGCTTGGGCGGGGAGCCCTGCTAAGAAGGGCTTTCCCCTCAACAAGATTAAAAGCCAGCGCAGAGGAGGAAAGAGGCGGTTTTTATGGCCTCTTAGTTCCACTCCCCAAAAGCACACCTGGAGGCGTCTGGGAAAGCCCACCCGAGAAGCCCGGGCGGGGGAGGGGGGCGCCGTTCCCCTCCGCCCGCCGCGGCTCCCCCTCCCCCTGGGCCGCGCGGCCGGGCCCGCCGCCTCTAATTGCGACTTCCCCTCAGGTGTGGCCCCCGCCCCCGCCCCCCGCGAGGACCTGGGGAACAAGAGGACGCATTCTCGCCCTCACTCCCCCTTCCGCTCGGCCGAGCCCTCCTCCCCCATCCCCCTGCCCCCCCTCCTCACCGGAAAACGGCAATCTGGCTACCGGCGAGGAGGCTGCGGCGTCCGCGGGCCGCCCGGGCGCCGTGCCGGGCTCTCGGGCCTGCTGCCCCGGCCCCGGCCCCGGCGGCTCGCCCGCCCGAGGGTTTGGGTTTGCTTCGCCCCAACAGGTAGCACGGGACGCGCTGTGCCAGCCAGGAAACCGGAGCCCGCGCGGAGGGAGGGGTGCGCCCGCCGGTCCCGGGGCCTGGGCACGCCCCGGGCCGCCAGTCTCGCGCCAGGCGGAGGTGCGGGGCCTTCTCCGGGCCACCCACGCCCCGCTTCCACTGCGGGCGGCGCTGCCCGCCGCGCCCCGAGCGCCGCCCCATCCACCTGCCGGGCCACGCCCGGCCCCGGGCCACTGGGCTCCCACGGCTCGCCCGGGCTCTGTTCCGCGCCTCTCGGAGAGGCAAGTTTGTTACCCCGCAGTTTGGGAGTTGGATTGTCCACCCCGCCTTCAAATAACCCGTTTGCAGGAAAATGGTTTTATTCTGGGGCTCGAAATTGGGGATGGGGGTGCAGGCCTGGGTAGTGGAATGTGAAGAATGGCCATCCCTCTTTTTTTTTTTTTTTTTCGCTCCCTTTTTCTTTTTTCCTGAAACAAACACAAAAGTCCCTTCCTACAGTCTGGCCAGGAGGAATTTGGAGGCTGGAAGTAGACTGAGGAAGTCTCAGCAAGCAGAGTTCCTGACAGTGTCTGCAAGGCCTTGAATCTGCTGCCCTTTCCACCTGTTTCAGGGAGCCTGCGTCCAGGGGAACACTACAGTTCCCCGCCTGGGGGTCTGCCCCACCCCCACCCCCGGGGCCTATTCCAGTGCGGGGGTGGGGCGGTGGGGGGGTGTCTGGGGCGGCTGCCCTGAGGCCCCAGCCCTGGTTTGTGGCAGTCCCGCCCCTTTCTGGCTGGAGGCTCTGACGCTTGGTGGTCCTCAGGGTCCTCCTTGGGGGCTCTGGTTCCCCTCCCTCCACCCCAGCCCAGTCTTGGGATCAGGAAGGGAAGGGGATGGGAAGGCTGGTGAGGGGCGGCTGCCCCCAGTGTCCCCGACTACGTCAGGGGCTGTGGCCTCCGTGTGCGCTTGGTCCGGCGGGTGGGGGCTGAGCCCACGAACTCGAACTGCTTCTGCCTCTCGGCGTGGTTGGGGAAGGGCAGCTGGCCCTGGTAGAGGCGCTTGATGAAGTGAGCCTCTCGTTGGTTCTGGCGGCTGCGAGAAGCCTGGCGGGGCCGGCCCTGCCTCGTGAAGGCCATGAACCATCCCTCGTGCCGGGCATTCTGGAAGGCCGTGTAGTTGTTCTCCAGCACAATCTCCGTGAACACACAGTCTTTGCTCTTCCCGCTGGGCTGCGGAGGGAAGGAGGGTGAGGAGGGGAGTTTGTCCACCCAACCTGTCTGGCTTGTCAGCCTTTTGGGCCTATTCTGTAGGACAAAGGAGGGAGTGATGGGGGCTGTGTGCCCAAGGACTTCTGCCTGGTGAGGTGAGACGGGTGCCCTTGTTGGAGAGGCAAAAGTGGGAGAAAGGAACAAGTTTTGCTGGGAGTCAGATCTGAACTTAAACACAGGCTTGTCATTTGCAAGTTGTACACCTTGAGAACGGTGTTTAGCCATGCCGAGCCTGTTTCCCCAGACGTGGCATAAAGATCCAGATTATTCTGCAGTGCGTACTCAGTGGGTACTCAGCACATGAGAACACTCCTCAGTGTGGGCGAATGGTAACTGCTGGGTGGAGGAAAAGGAGGCAACAAGCAGCCTCTAATGAAAAGAAGGGGCAAATGTTTACAGAATAAAGACAATGTCAGGAACCACACAGCCACCCATTTGACCTTATCCATAGCCTTGACCCTATGCCCATTTTTATAGACGAGAAGCCTGAGGCTTGACTGAAATCAGCAAATATTTGGTGAGAACAGCCAGAATCAGAAGCCAGGATTGACAAATGCTAAAGGAAATGGAATTCTCCCTACACAACAGTGCTGAGCCTGCCATTGTGGAGAGGTTACACTAGCAGGCAGTTTTGTAGGCAGTATGCATCTTCCTGGACGGATTCTGGGGGCCCCACTGACCTTGGAGGAGCTTGTGGCCGTGTATGAGTGCCCACTCTCAGCCCTGATCAGCACTTAACCCTCAACATGAAGGCTGCAATCTCATGTAGGTGCTAAAATCCTGACTGATTGCTGTCGGGACATAGCCCGGAAATCAGAGCCGAAGAGACTACGGGTCACTAAGTGTTCTGAGAGCTTCTAGACCCACAGGGACTCATTTACATGGAGAAACCAGAGAGTGGCTGAGTGTTGGGGTGTGAGTAGAAGTAGTCCTGGCTTGGGCCCAGTGGAGGGGAGTGGGGTGCTGTGGGGCAGGCGGTAAGATTGGTTCATTCACCACTCGCCCTCCTTCCAGGTCTCACCTTTCCGATGAGCTTGCCCCTCTTGTTCATGCAGATGTATTTCTCACTCTCAGCACCCTTGATGCGCACACGGCTTCCAAAGGTGTCCGTCTCCACTATGAGTTTGGCTGTGACGGGGGAGGGGGAGAAAGACTTCTGTCCATGGGGGTTCCCGGCTCAGGGGTGTGGCAGGGGGCCCCCCAACCAGCCTGACCTCCGAGCTTGGGCGGGGGGGCACCGGGAGGCTCTCACACTTGGGCCCCTGCCCTGGCACAGGATCTGGGGAGAGACCAGGTTAGGCAGGCCAGGGGGTGAGTGGCCTCTGACGAGGGCTGGGTCTCACCGAACTTGTTGCCGTCCTCCGCGGTGGCAGAGATGCGACGCCCGGTGACCTGCACGTGCTTGCCACTGGTCCGGCTGTAGAGCTGGTACTCGCGAATCTGCCGCCGGCTCAGCTGGTCGGTCATGGCGCCCTGGTCCCTCACGTACTGGTTAAAATTAGGAGACGGGTGATTCTCCCCCTTTGCGGTTACCAAGGGAAAAATAGTGTCAATTTGCTTTGGGTGACACCACCACCGGTCCATCCAGGGGAGCGGGGTGTGGAGGTGAGTGTGATGCGGGCAGGTCCATTGGTCCTGGGAAGCAGAGGTGCAGGGCAAGGGGACATATGATCCTCCCAGGCCAGTGGGTGAGCCAGTCGTGACCTCTGGGCTCTCTGTCTGCCAGGCTTGGGGGACATCTGGTGATCTAGTGCCCACCTGGAATCGTGACTCTGGTTGCTAGAAGGAACCCAATTTCAGCGCGAACTGTGGAATCCCGAGCTCCTGCCCGCCTCCCCTGCCCCTGCCCCTGCCCCTGGGTGCTCAGGGCTCTCAGAGACGCCGGGCCCCGGTTCAGTGTTCCTCCCTCCTCTAGGGGTGAGGGAGGTGGAGGCCGCAGCAGGAAGAGGCGCTAGGGGTGGTGGCCCAGGGGCGCCCCCGGGAGGCGCCGGCCTGCCTGTGCCACGATGTAATAGGCTCGTGGCCAGTGGGGGCGATGTTGCAGCCTGCTGCCTGCTCCCCGGGTTCCACCGTGCGCGCTGCCAAGCCTGGCCGAGTACCGCCGCAGGCCCAGTCTCTCCTTACCTATCTGCAACACTGAGCGGGAGAAAAACAGACCACTTCCTGTCCTCCCTCTCCAGTAAGGTGCAAACCTGATGCCATTTCTCAGCGGCAGCTGCTGGTGACAGCCTCAACCCTAGGCTCAAATGTTTCTCTCTCCGCCCGATCGTGCTGGCCAGACTCTCTCTGCCCCAGACTTTCTCTGCCCCAGATCCCTAGGGCCACCTTTATCCCAGGCCCAGTCACAACCACCGAGACAGACCTGGACCCAGATCAGCATCTGTCAGAGGCCACTCTGTTGTAGAGGGAGGAGCCAGAGCCGGAAGGATCAGCTTTGAGGAAAGGGGCGGTGAGTGAGCGGCTCCAGGCTGACCCTGTAACCCGCTCAGGGTTAACCCTTCATGTGTGTCACTGCTCATTTCCGACTCCAGCTCAGCCACTGGCCAGGAGTGCCGCCAGAACCCCCCCCTGCCTATGAGAGCAGGGTCTGGAGACTCAGAGCAGCGAAGTGCGACCCGCACCCCACCCTGGAATTTGGGGTGGGGGCCTGCCTCCCTGCCAGGGAGTGGGGTCTGGCTGGCCCAGGACCCTCGGTTAGGTCCGGCCTGTCCCCAGCCCCCAGCCTCCTGGCCCAGGTTCAGGCCCTCCGCCCCTCTTGGCGGGCAGCCTTCTTCTGGCTGTCTGTTCCAGGTCAGGAGCAGAGAGGGCCCCCCTGAAGCCCCCTCCTCTCCTTGTCCCCCTTCAGGCCTTGCACAAAAGCAGCCCCACGCCCCCCCCACAACCCCACAGCCCACAAGTCGCTCTCCCCGCGGGACCTGGCCTGTCCCTTTCATGTTCCCGCTGCAGGGGGACCTCCCCTTCCACTGCTGCAGACAGCTGCTTGTCAGACGGCCCCTCAAGCATAGCTATGGTCCGGCCTGCCGGCCCCCCCTCCAAGGGGGGTGAGGGGGCACTTCAAGGGGGAAAGGACAGCTTTGCCACCTTCCCTGAGTCCTGAATGGGGCCTCAGCCAGGCCATAAACGCCCGGCCAGCCTCACCATTGTGCTAATTCCCCTTCCAGAACAGGTTGGGCCCACCCCTAGCCCCCTCCCGGCCAGGCTGGGGGCTTTCTTCTTGCTCTCCCTGGATGTGTGAAGCAAAAGGCCTGGAACGGGGGCTAGAGCAAAAGGGGGAAGGAAAGGGGGGGGAGTTGTCTCTCTCTCTCCCACCCCCCCACTGCTTCAAAGGCAGCCCCTTTCCCTCTCCCAGAGAAAAGGCATTTACCTTCAAAAAAAGTCCCCACTGGATATGAAGAGAAGCGGGCCTCTGGCCTGGGAAAGCCAAGCGATCTCTCCCCAGAGCGGTTCTGGACCAGTGCATTTTAATAGCTGCACTTTTATGGAGGATCACAAAAAGGGACCGAGCCTTGCACAGGGGGCTGAGGCTTGGGGTGGGGGGGTGTGCATGGGGGGGGGGTGCTGACATAGGGTGGGGGGAGTGTGGAGATGCAAACCCTGAATCTTGTCCCAAAAAAACCTCTTTGGGCTTCACCTCATTGCCCTGTAGGTAAGGAGTCACCCCGCCCTGGCTGGGCATTCTGACTGTCCACTCAATCCCCCAGGACAGTGGCCCCCCAGGACATCCGTGTTGGGGGGTGTGGGGTAGTAAGTGGAACGCACAAGTGGTTTTGCATGGAAACCTGTGTTTTCAGGTACCTCCAAGTACAAGCCTCACCTGAGCCAGCACCTCTGCCCTCTACCTACCACTCCAGACTCCATCCCTCAAGCCTGGGCTGCCCCATGCATTTAGCCTTGGGTGGGGGAGGAACACGTGTGGCAATAAGGAGAGAGAAACAGAGACTCCAGGACAAGTAGGGACAGGGAGGGTCATGGAGGGAGGACAGATAAAGACCTCAGTGAATCCCCAAATGTGCCTTAGCCCCTTCTACCCGCCTCCAAAGGCTGACACCAACCCCCCAACCTCAAAAACCATCTGTATCCAGGGGGAGACCAGAACCTGCCGAGAGGAGACTACCCGCCCCAGCTGGGTGGGGTGGGGGGAGATGGGAAAAAGCTGGTGGGGGGGGCGCCCGCCTACCTGAGTTTGACAGCAGAGAATCAGTAGCTGCAGGCACCTGTGTGGGAAGACAAGGCAGACCCTGGTGTGGGTGCCAGCCGTCAACCCAGGGCGAGCAACCAGGCACCCCCCCAGCCCCTCCGTGTGGGGTCCCGGTAAGATTAGGTCTGCCCCAGGCTGGAAATGGCGACAAAACTTCAGTCCAGAGAGGGAGCACACTTACAGAGTGAGGTTGGGCAGCAGGCGGGTGGCTCCCATCGCCGGAGAGATTTCTTGGGGCGGTTGCCCCCCTGCCCCCAAACTCAGGAGCAGATATGGGCAGTCCCCAGGGGTAGAGTCCCAGAGAAGCCAAGGTCTCTTCAAGCCACAGGTTTTCAGGGGGGAGAGGAGGAGAGAGAGGGGAGGAGGAGGAGAGAGAAGGGAGGGGAGGAGGAGTGGGGGAGGAGGGCGTAATTGGGAGACTGAGGTGTGAGGTGTCCACCTTCCTGGCCAGTGAGCCGGCTAAGCAGCCACCGGCGGGGGCCGCCAGCCTCTTGCTGGGCTACCCGAGCACAGAGGATGGAGCTGCTGGATAAGGAGGCTGGCCCCTGTGGTCTCCCCCGTTTTTCCTGACCCTCAGACCTGGACTGGAGGGCCCCTCCTCCCCTCCCAGGGCCAGCTTCTCCTGCCCTCAGGTCCGGTGCCCCACCTCCCCAAGGGAGAGTGCAGGTATCATTCCGGGACAGGGGTTGCTGAGTCTGGCTCTGGGGGTGGAAATTCCCAGAAGCAGCCTTAAAAGGAGGAGCCTCCCTCCAGGGGGCAGGCGGTGGGCTTGGCTAGGAGCGCTTGCTTCCACTGCCTCTGTGACCCCTTGCTCCCCCTCTCTGCTGTCTGGCCACTGGGATGGAGGTGTTAAGGCTGTCCCAACTGGCAGCAAATAGTGGGTGCAACAGGTGGGGGGCCAGGGATGGGGGAGAAGGTGCAGCTGGGGCTGTGGAAGGACCCGTCTCAGAAAAGACAGACTCGGAGAAGAGCTGGTGCATTGGCGTGAGCTACTTTTCTCTGGGCCTGGGCACTTTTCTCCTAGAAATGGGGCGGTACCACCTCAGGATGTCGGAGGACCAAATGAGATGACTGCACTGAGCAGACGCCAAAAGGTGTAATATGTTCTTGGGCCTCACCCATCATCCTCTCTGGGGCAGCAGCTGTCCCTAGGGCCTCCTCCCTGCGCCCACCAGCAGCTGCCTGGGATGAAGTGCCCACCAGCCTCTTCACATGACCTCTGGTCCCACCCTGCTCTGTACCGTCCCAGTATTATGCCATTCGACAGACAGGGAAACTGAGGCACACTGGTAGGTAGTTAGTTCAGAATGACCCAGCTAGTGAATGGTGGAACTAGGTTCCTAAAGTCCATGCTCTTTCTATTCTATCTCATCCGGAGACTTTCTGCTGTGTCCACGCCCTCTGGGCTGAGATATCCAAGGTCCCAGAAGCTGGTGACCAGGGACTCTAACTGTTCCTTCCCTACAGAATGTGGGTGATGGTGACTGTGGAAGCGGGCTCGTGCTTAGGGGGATCTCCGAGGGAAGCCCCCGCATCGGGAAGCAGAGCTCACACCTCAGCTCTGGGCTCTGAGGTCTAAGTGCCCCCAGGATGGAAAGAGAAGGGGAAATGCTGGGTGTGGATGTATTTACCTAAAGAGATGAGCAGGAGGGCGAAACTCTCACCTCCAGGCCTCCTTCTCACCTTCCTGAGCTAGATCAATCCACAAAGTTGTCTGCCACCTCTCCCCCCCCAGACAAGCCCCAAGGCCACCTCCTGGCCACCTCCAGCAGTCCAGCTCCAGCACCTGGCTCCCAGCTCCGCCCACGGTGCCCCACGGGGGGCTCAGGGTCCTGTTGAGCCTGACCTAGCCTGGGGAGTGCGGAGGTAGTCCTGTAACTGGGGGAGTCCAGGGTTGGAACCATACTGGAATCATACTGTCAAAAGTGGAAGGGCTTGGGGCACCTGGGTGGCTCAGTCATTAAGCGTCTGCCTTCAGCTCAGGTTATGATCCCAGGGTCCTGGGATCGAGCCCTGCATCAGGCTCCCTGCTCGGCAAAAAGCCTGCTTCTTCCTTTCGCACTCCCCCTGCTTGTGTTCCCTCTCTCGCTGTGTCTCTGTCAAATAAATAAATAAAATCTTAAAAAACAAAAAAACCCCAAAACCGGAAGGGCTCTTAGATTCTTCATTTGGTCCCTGAGGAGGCCCAGGGAGGGTCTCACAGCTAGTTAGTGAGTGGCATGACTTGGACAAGGCATCAGGTAACCAGACTCCCAGTCCAGTGCTCATCATTTTCTCAGCATGCCCCAGACTGTCCTGCTTCTCTGCTTTTGCCCAGGCTGATGTTCCTGATCATTTTCCACATTTGTTCCATTTGGGGCAGGATTTAAACTCTGCCTCTTCCGAGGAAATGCCTGAATCTCCCTCTCTGCTGTGGTTGGTGCTGGCTCTGGCTCCATTCTCCGGGAGCCCACGACCTCACCCACATCTCTGCCTGCTCCTAGCTCCCGGATAGGGTACTCAGGGCTACCTCCTGCCGCCCTCAATCCTGGGATGACAGGTAAGAGCAGACGCATGGAGGTAGTTCAGAGTTGGAATTGTGGGGTTGACTGGTGAGCTGGGAGATGGAATGAAATAAGGAGTCAGGTGTGGGGAGTGCCACCTAGCGCTGTCTGGGCCCCAGTTTTCTGAGCCTGAGTGCCTGGTTCCTATTGGTGGGAGAGGGGCCTGTTGTCACTGGCCAGCCCCTGAGCCAGGCCTGGGTCTCCATGGTAACAGATGCCAGCAGTCAAGCTTGGCCTTGGGGCTCAGCCAGGGGTCTGTGCCAGGGGGCTCTGGGGCATGGCTGGGTAGCCTGTTTCATGGTGCGACATCTGCTCGTTGTCCCTTCCCATTGTGCACCCGCAGGCCTGGCTTTCTGACTCAGCTTGCTCCTTTACCCCTACGGAGAGGCCAGTGCTGGGCTCCAAGAGGGGAGGCAGCATGGAGAGTGTTCCGTGGATTTCATCCCCATCCCCAGGCCCTGTCCTCCATGGGCTGTGTGATCTATGGCAAGTCCCTTCACTTCTCTGGTCTCAGCTTGCTAATTTGTAAAAAGGAAATGGCCATTATCGATGCTGTCAAAACTGCCACCGTGAGCATCAACTGAGGTGGACACTCCCTGAAAAGTGTCAAGGACCAAAAGAATGGCGGCAAGGGGCCTAGACCCTAGACCTCTTATGTGGCCCAGACTCAGTTTACCTGAATTTTGCCCCACTCTCTCCCTTGACTAGAGGGAGCTGGGAGGCAGAAGGTAGGGTTCATTAACATTTATGGGGGGAGGTGGCAGGAGGTGATAAGGGAAGTGAGAAGTAGCCTGGGCTGCATTGGTTAATCCCCACCCCCTAGTGCCAAGTTCAACACCCCCCAACTGAGGCGTCTCACGCCTGCTCCTTCTAACAGCCCAGCTGGTGCAGACACAGAGCCCGCAGGGCCCACCTGCAGACCTGCCACTTGTCACCACCTGCTTCGACCCGGCTCACCCTTTTCCTGTTGAGAAACAGAAGGGCTGGCGCTGGGGCTGGGGCAGGGCAAAAGGCACATGGACGGGTCCAGGCCGGGGAGCCCTTCATCTTTGCCGCTCGGTCCCTACTGCCTGCCAGCACTCGGAGGCCAAGTCGGTGGTGTAGCTGTCGCCGGCCCTTCTGTGCAGACCCCGGGTGCAGCCAGGCTGTTGGGGCGTTGGCCTGGGGCGAGGCGGCGGCGGAGGGAAGAAGTCCCTGTGTGGCTGGGGGCTGCCCAGTGTAACTCCTGTCCTGCATTCTAACGACTGCTTTCAGTTCATGAGACTTCCTAGCGCTCCGCTGCGGGGCTCTCCCCCCTCCCATCCGGAGTGGTTAAAGAGCTGGGGGCCACACTACCTGGCAGGAACCCTGGTTCCTCCACTAGTTCTGTAGCCTTGGGGACAAGTTGTTTCACCTCTCTGTGCCTCATCTTCCAGGTCTGAGAAGCTGGGCTTAACGGGAGTGAGTCCCGGGAGGCCCTCCTGGCTGCACCCATAGCCCAGCACGCCCAGCACGCCCAGCACGCCCAGTGCGTTCTTCCTGCAATTATGGCAATCTTCTTTTGTTCAGACCCCCAAGCTTGCTCTGCCTCAGGCCCTTTGCATTCTTGGCCCCTGCTCCTACAAGTGTCCTTCTGCCGGCTACTCCTGGGGCCTGCCACCCCCTTCTTGTCACTCCTCTCCTTTGAGGGGCTTCCTCTGATCTCCCAACAGTACTTCTCCAGCCTGGAACTTAGCCTGTTTCACATCCTGCAAAGCACGGGACAGTAACTGACATTTTGTTGTTGGCTTTTGTTTCCACGAGGCTGGAGGGGACTTGAAGGTGAAGAATTTGTCCCACCCTGTGTCACTGTGGCATGAAGCCATGAGAAATGCCTGCTGCCCACCTGGAGCCAGATGTGAACTGCTGTCCGGGTGACCCGAGGTCAGTGGCTCATTCTCATTTGTTAGAGGGTGGGGCGATGCCCACATCTGTCCTATGGGGTGAAGAGAGCAAGCAGCAAGAACGCTGGCCCTACCCTCCTCCATCTCTCCTGGCTTCAAGAGAACCGGAGGCTGAACACGGACACAAAAGCCTGCTTGCGGACCTTCCCATGCTGGCATTCAGACCGCCCACCTTCTGGGACCCTGCCTCCGGATCCTGGAGAGAGGCAGGGCCATCTCCCCTTTGGCCCACTTCAGATTTGGCTGGTGGAGGTGTGGGGGAGGGCCAGGAGAAGCCCAGCAGAGGCCCTGCAAGTATAAGCCCAAGTGGGGGGCCATCTGTGTGTCACCATGGGTGACCCAGGCTCCAGGTCGTTCACCCCCTTGCCAGTCCCCCTTTGCCTCACCCGAACACCCTGGGGAGCCCTGTTCCGTGGCTCCAGGAACTGTCCTGGGGGATGCCTCACGGGGGAGTTAAGAGTGTTTACCTGTCCACCTCCTGTAAGAGACCCTCTAGAGCCTCTGTAAAGCCTGCCTCATGTGCCCTGCCTGGGAGGGTGTCCTTGAAGGTCCAGGCCTCCGGGCTCTTGCCTGACACAGATCTGCACACAAATGAGCAGGAGCTCACCCTGAACAGGAGGCAAGACTGGGAGCACACAACTAGCATCCCACCTCCGGGGTTCCAGTAGACGTCCTGTGTATTGGACAACAGACAGACGTGATTAGGGCCAGGAGAGAAGATCCTCAGGCTAGTCTGACGGGCCAAGGACCTTCCTGGCAGGGTGGGCAGCTCTCACCCCTTGGTTCAGCACGTGGCAAATGGGCCAGCCACGAGGGAGTGTGGGCACAGGAAGACTCACACCAGCTGGAGCTCCCTCCCTCAGGCCAGGAGCAGAAAGTTGAAGCTGGGCAAGGGGCTGAGACACTTGGTTTTTTCCCTGAAGCTGGGTGGTGGGGGGGTGGGAGTGGGAGTGGGTGAGAGTTTGAGGACAAGAGAGGGAGGTAAGGGGAGGTAAAAGAGCAGAGCAGAGCAGAGCAGAGCAGAACCCAGCTGGCCCGCGGCCGCCCTCTGCCGGGCACACGGGCTCACTGCAGCCAGCAAGAAGGCCGGCTCCTGGGAACAGATGGCAGAAACAAGGTCCTGACAAAGCAAACTTTATTGTGGCCCCGAGGTTGGAGCTTTTCCCTCCAGGTCCTGCTGAAACTCGAGAGTTGGGGGTGAGGGCCTCTTGTGTCGCCCCCAACAGCTCCAGCCCATTCAGACTCAGGTGGAGAGAGGCTGGGTGGGGGGAACCTGGGGAACGCGCCGAGGAAGGCCACCCCGCATGTGCTCTAGCTGGCTCTCCCGCAGTCCCTGCAGCCAGGCCACTCCTGGCTCCTCATTTCTTGAATCCGGGCTTTTTAGGTTTGAGTGTGGGTTTGGCCTATGGAGAGAAGGGAGGGCGCCAGTGTCCCACTCCCTCCCTCTGTCCGTCCCCCGCCCCCCCGCCCCCCCCCCCCCCCCCCCCGCAGGACCAGCCCCTTCTTCTGGTACTCACCTTTTTCACAGGACTCTTTTCTTTAAGCCTGGGTCTGGAGTTGGGTGGGGTGGGGCAAGGAGAGGGGATGTGGGTGGGAAGAAGAGCGTGCTCAGCCTGACACCAGTAGCCCAGACCCTCTTAGTGCCCACACTGAAAGCAGGGGGCTGTGACCTGGAGAATTGGAAGCTGCCGAATTCACCTCTCCACCTGTCCCCTACCGGGAACCACTCTGACTCTTATTTTAAACAAGATGTTTTTTCTTCTCAGGCTTCCATCTGCTTTCTTTATCACAAATGGGTCTTTTTCATTATAAAAGTAATGTTTAACTATGTTGCACAATATATAGCAAATAGAGATTAAATTACTTATTTTCTTTATTTCCCCACCAGTATTAGCATTTTGGTGTGTTTCCTTTCAGGGCTTTTTGCTTTGTTTTCTTCTAAAAACATGTGAAATAACATGAAAATGACTTAATATCCTGTTTTTTAAAAATTCAATAAACATTTTCCAGGATGCTATATTCTTCATAGGTCACATTCCATTGGGAAAATGTGACATGGCTTAATCAAATACTACATTGGTCAACATTTGGAATGCTTCCATTTTTTACTATTACTTGAATAATGCGTATCTCAGTGCCTATCATTTTACCCATATTTTGGATGGGATCCTTTGGAAGGAATTGCCGTAAGTGGAATTAGGTCAAAAGGTAAGAATACCTTAATGCTTTCCCCAGAGGCTGTGGCAGTAGGCTCCTACCCGTGTGCACACATGCCAGGCCCTTCCTAGCCCCACATACCCCCGCTACAAGATCGCGGCCGAGTTAATAGAGGGAAAGAGTTACCTCACGGCCTCCTCTTCCTTTTCCACCTTTTTTTTCTGGGAACCAAACACAAGCGGTATGGGGCGGGTTAGGGCCCTGCCCAGGCTTTGGCACACTCAGGCACCCAGCATGCGGCAGGCCTGGCCCAGGCTTTTGAGGAGCCTCTGGGGGTCCCTGCCCTCACCTTGGCAATGCTTGTCTGCTTCTGGGACGCCAGCCTCTTGACTTGTTTAAGAGGGGTCTCCTCCTCTAGGGACACATCTACGTCGTCGTCGTCGTCGTCGTCAACCTCACTGCTGTCACCTTCTTCCTCCTCCTCCTCCTCCTCCTCCTCTTCCTCCCAGGACAGGTCTGCAGTGTCTGCGGTGCATGGAAGGGGGCAGGGCCGCAGAGCTCTGGGTCTCTGCCTGGCTCCCGTCCTGCCATGCGTCTTGCCGTCAGAGCTGCCCTGGGGAAGCCAGCACCTGCCACCTCCTCTAGACCCTTTCTGGCCTCTCTGACAAAGTGGAGGCTCGGGTGGGGTGAGGGGTCCGGAACCCCGGAGAGCCGGGGTGGCGGGGGAGGGCAGGGGAAGTGGCCCGCTGTGGCTCTGGCTGGGAAGGAGTCAGAGGAGGGGAGGGTGGGCGGAGGGTGCCAGCGAAGGGAGCAGCTAAGGAGTGCAGACCTCATCCTAAGGGAAGTAGAGCCTGCCAGCGTCTTGGGGTAGGACAGTGCCCTGATGAAAGAGGGACAACCGCACAGAGGAGGCTAGGCAGAGAGTCCGCAGCACAGCGGCTTGCTGGGGTCCGTACTGCCCCTCCAGCGACGCGCCTCACAGCAGCTAACATTCTCCGTGCGGGTAGTACGAGGCACCCCGCAAACTGCTTTTTCCTGAATATCCCGTTTATTCCTCCCAACTGCTCTTTGGAGATGAAACCAAGTATACCCCCACCCTGGTGTTAGAGGCAAGGGGACTGAGGCCCACAGAGGCAGGGAGGTAAAGGAGGACTTCCAGTCCAGACTACTGGCAATCATGTTGCCTTTGGGGACTTTCGCTAATAACTCAAGAATCCCTCCAGCTTTGGAGTGCCGGTTCCCCCTTTGGCCCTGTGCTAGGCACTGCACTCTGAGACCTTCCCCAGGTCCAAGCTCCGACTTACCGTAAAGTTCCTGGCCACTGAGGAACACAGGTCCAGAGCCAGCCCGGAGCTGGAAAGTGACTGGAGGAGAAAGCTCCAGTCCCATCAGGACGACCTGCAGGGGGAGGGATGCAGGGGCAGGAGCAGAGAAGATGGGCTCACTCACCCCTGGAGGCTGCCTGGGGGCTGCTCTCTGGCAGAAACACTCAGAATTGATTCCCCAAACCCCACCTACACACACTTCAGGTTCTCTGGGCCTCACTGTGTCATCAGCCCCTTCCTGTTGAGGTGGATTCTGTCGGAGAAGAATGTGAATCTGATAACCCCGCTCTTGTTAAAGATCCCAGACAGGCTTCCAAGCTGAGGGGCAGCTGTTCAGTACAGAAGTGTGATTGCCACCGACTGAACTGTATCCCCCAAATTCTTATGTGAAGCCCTAACCTCCAGTGTGAGGCTATCTGGAGGTGGGGCCTTTGAGAGGCAATTAGGATTAGATGAGGTCATGGGAGCTGGGCCCTCATGATGGGATGAGTGCCCTTGTAAAGGAGGCCAGAGGCTTCGCTCTGTCTCTCTGCCGTGTGAGGACGGAGAGAGCAAGCGGCCATCTGTAAGCCAGGAAGAGGGTCCCTCCCCATATCCGACCTTGCTGGCACCCTGGTCTCAGACGTTCAGAACTGTGACAAAATAAATGCCCCTCACTCTATGGTATTTTGTTATGGCGGCCCACTCGAATAAGATATGAGTCAAATGAGAAAAGCAGACACAAAGTGGTATGTACAGTACCAGTAGTGTGTGGATATACATATGAATAAAGTTAGACTTCTCTTAAGTGTGACCCATAATTTTCAGTGGACAGTAAGATATTTCCTTTCCTTATACTTCTCCAAACTTTCCAAATTTTCTGGAGTATCAATGATGATACTCCCATTTATTGACTGCCTACCGTGTGCCAGGCCCTATGCTAAGCATTTTACCGACTTTATTCATCGAACCCCTCATGACAATCCCATGATGGAGGTGCCTTGACTTTACAGAGGAGAGAACTGAGGCGTAGGGAGATTAATTTAGAGTTTTGGGCTCAGAGAGGAAGGAGATAAGCGAAAACTGAAACTCTGGAGCCATCAACACCCAGAAATGCTGGATACAATATATTCCAATGTTTTCATTGCATGGCTGAATAGTAACACAGAAGAGGTCCCATGCACCAGAAACGAAGGGACAGCGTGGCAAGCGCAGGTGCCATAAGCAGCTGAGGGGGAGATGTGCCTGAAAACAGCTCTGGCCTTGAGTTTAAGATCTTATTTATTTATTTGCCAGAGAGAGAGAGAGCGAGCGAGCGAGCCAGGCAGAGGGAGAAGCAGGGTCCCCACTGAACAAGGAGCCCGATGCGGGACTTGATCCCAGGACCCTGGGATCATGACCTGAGCCCAAGGCAGATGCTTAACCAACTGAGCCACCCAGGCATCCCGTGGCCTTAGGTTTTAACACACACTCATGGACAGGGGACAGGAGACAGGGCCTGGGTTCAAAAGAGGAACACTGTCACGGAGCCCGCTGAATGGAGGCTAGGACCCTCTAAGGGTTGCACCTCAGTAAAAAGCTCCAGGGTCAGGGAGAGGCTAGGGGACTGCAGAATTCCAAACCCACCTACTAGGAACTCCCCCTGCCCCCACTACTGAAGGAAGGAAATGCAAGGGGGATAAATAAGTCTCCTGTGAGAACCCAAAAACCCATGGCTGTACCTCTCACCCACACAAAGTTTGAATTCACTTGGTGAGTACTGCCAAGTCCAGAAACTTGTATAAAATCCCAGACTGGTGACATTCCTGGGCAAATGGCAGACACAAACACAAAACTGTTCTCTTGGGATACTGTCAATTTTTTTCACATGGAATTCTTTCAGAGAAAAAAACAAGACCCTGAAGACAGCTCCTCATCTAAAAATCACAAAAAACATACAAGACACAATCCTGCTAGAATGAGCAGAAGGAAACAAAATGACCACAGACCAGCACAAGCAAGAACCTGAGATAAAAGAATAATCTAAACAATTGTGAAATTAGATTGATGAAAATCAAATAAACAAAAGTAGGAACTGTAAGAACAGGTATTAGGAGAAATAAAAAGAACCAAATGCAGCTTCTAGACTGAACAAAGAGTTAAAAAGCAGAATAAGCCAGCTAAAACAAGGATCAGGAAACTGGAATCATACTGTGAAGAAACTGCCCGGTACTCAGCACAGAGAGACAGATGAACAAAATATGAAAGAGAAGCTGGGAGGTATGGAGGACAGAATGAGCAGATCCAACATGCATCTCATCACAATAAGGGACTGGGAGCAATGGAGTCAATACGCCAAGTGATAACCAAGAGCTTCTAGAAACCATCAAGGACACAGATCCTCACATCCAGGAAACCTAAGTTCTGAACAGATGAATAAAAATAAATGTACACCTGAACATCCCATAGTGAAATGGTGGCTAGCAAAAACAAAGAGGTTATCTTAAAATAAACCAAAGAGGAAAGACAGATTTCCAAAAAAGGAACAATAACCAGACAGACTGAAGGTTTTGACAGCAACGTCAAAAAACAGAAGAATAGAATGACATCTTCAAAATTTTGAGGGAAACTACCTCTCTATGTAGAATTATACACAGCCAAACTATCATGAAGGAATGAGGGTAAAATAAAGATATTTCCAGGCAAAGCCCAAGTAAGTTCACTACTCCCAGACCTACTCAATGAGGTGTCAAAAAGATGACAATTACTGGTGCAGCCACTCTGGAAAATAGCATGGAGTTTCCTCCTATTCCTTAAAAACAGTATGGAGGTACCCTACGACCCAGCAATTGCACTACTAGGTATTTATCCAAAGGATACAAACATAGTGATCTGAAGGAGTACATGCACCCCAATGTTTATAGCAGCAATGTCCACAATTGCCAAAATATGGAAGGAGCCCATATGTCCATTGACAGATGAATGGATAAAGAAGAGGTGGTATAGAGAGGGAGCAAACCATAAGAGACCCACAATCTTAGGAAACAAACTGAGCGTTGCTGGAGGGGAGAGGGGTGGGGGGATGGGGTAACTGGGTGATGGACAATGGGGAGGGTATGTGTTGTAATGAGCACTGGGTGTCGTGTAAGACTGATGAATCACAGACCCGTACCCCTGAAACAAATAATATAGTTAATTAATTGAATTTAAATTAAAAAAACAAAACAAAAAGAAGAGGTGGTATACACACACACACACACACACACACACGAATATTACTCAGCCATCAAAAGGCATGAAATCTTGCCATTTGCAACAACGTGGATGGAACTAGAGGGTGTTATGCTAAGTGAAGTAAGTCCGTCAGAGGAAGACAAATACCTTATGATTTCACGCATATGTGGAACTTGAGAAACAAAACATGAACAAAGGGGAAGGGAAGGAAAAATGAGATAAAACAGAGAGGGAGGCAAACCCTAAGAGACTCTTAACTCCAGGAAACCGAGGATTGCTGGAGGGAACGGGCGTGGGGGCATATGCAGTAACTGGGTGATGGGCCTTAAGGAGGGCATGTGATGTGATGAGCACTGGGTGTTCTATGCAACTGATGAATCACTAAATTCTACCCCTGAAACTAAGGCCACACTATATGTGAACTAAACTGAATTTAAAGAAATTTTTTTAAAAAAGAGGACAATTACATGGTAAAGGAAGAAGTGGGTACAAGCAGCAGTGGTGAGCAACCAACTTGGTCAACAAAGAAGAATCCAAGCAAGCATTACTGGAAAGCAAAATCATACTAGTATTGACTAGTATTGAGTGGGTTTAAAACAAGCTGAAGCTAAGACACCGCATGATAACAGGTAAGTTAAGAAGAGGGTAAATAGGGCGCCTGGGTGGCTCGGTTGGTTAAGCGACTGCCTTCGGCTTGGGTCATGATCCTGGAGTCCTGGGATCAAGTCCCACGTCGGGCTCCCTGCTCAGCAGGGAGTCTGCTTCTCCCTCTGACCCTCCCCACCTCATGCTCTCCATCATTCTCTCTCTCTCTCTCAATAAATAAAAAAATCTTAAAAAAAAAAAAAAAAAAAGAAGAGGGTAAATAGAAAATCTTCCTTGATTGTTTGGGGGGAGGAATAAAATATTAATTTTAGACTAATCATGCATGATTGTTAAAAAATTAAGAACTAATAAAAATCAGAATGAGATTCAACAGCTTCCAACCCAATAGAAAAGGGGAAAAGAAACCTTAATCTAATAAAAGACAGAAAAAGGAGAAAAAAGAAAAACAAAACATGAAAAAGCAAGGAATATAAAATCACAAAGTACATATTACAAATAAATCCAAGTATATTAGCATCACAGTAAACATAAACAGACTATATTGGTCAGATAGATGAACATAAAACATAGCTATTTACTGCTTGTAAGATACATGCCTAAAACATAAGCACATAGAAATGTTGAAGAAAAGATATGGAAGCATACCCAGCAGGTGTGGCAGAGGCTTCTCAAGGCTACTGCAATATCCATTCTTCCCTTTTTCCATCATAGCAGTGTTCTGATACTATTCAAATACTGTACCCACCAAAGACTGTATTCCTCAGTTTCCTGTGTAGTTGGCTGTGATCATGTTACTAATTTCCGGACCAATGAGTTGTAAGCAGAATTTCGTGGGTGGTGCTTGTGTGAAGACTCCTTAAGAGGTAGACAGAGAACTGAGAAAAGCCCCTTTGGTCTCCCCCTGTTTCTTCTCGCCTATTACCCTAAATGCAGAAGTGAGAGGTGGAGCTGCAGCAGTCTTCTTGGACTATAAGATGATCTTGAGGATGGAAGTTTTGAACCAAGGAGAGAAGAAAGAGAAGAGAAGCCCAGGTCTTTGGTGACCATCGAGCCATCTTACCAGCCTTGTACTGCCTATCTCTGGATGTCTTCTATTCAAGACAGAAATGAATCTTGAATGTGTTTGAGTCCCTGTAGTTGGGTCTCTGTTACTGCAAACATAACTATTTAAAACAAAAATGAAGCTAGTTGTATTTGTTAGGATTAGGTTTGCTAACAAGCAGCAGAAAACTCAATGCCAGTGGCTTATACAACACAGAAGCTTGTTTCTTTGTC